TTTTGGAATATTACTTGTCCTATCTCCAAAAAAACAGAACAAAACCACAAACAAACTAAAACACCAAGATGATAAAGCTGAAGAAGGAACAAGTCTAACTCTTCAATCAGATCATGCAGCAAAAAGTAGCAGGATAAAAGACTCAGTATCTTCATTTTAACTTTGATCATCCATCTCCTATTGTCCCTCCCTTCCTATCTACAAATAAGGATGTTCATTCCAAAATGGGTCAGAATAAAGGGGCATCCAAATCATGTGTTCAGCAAATGTACTGTGCACACACACAGAGCTAGCCAGGGACCTATGTCTGTACCGTCTACAGTAATTTCTGAAAGAAAACCAGAGAAACTCCTTTTACTATGTCTCAGAGAGAATTTTCTATATTAAACATATATCTGCCTTATATACAGCAGGAGCTGCTGTATGTAAAGAACCATTCAAGAGCTGAAAGGAGGAAAGAATAAAAGAATATGCAGGTTGAGACTGATCAACTCAGCACATGTGCTATGTATGAAATACCAGTTTTCCCATCAAGGAACACTAATGTAAAAAATCCCTGAAATCTATCAGAGTGGCTCCAAGTTGATGAGCAGAGCTAGAGGGATGCTTAAGCTGACCAGAGCATGACAGCATAGTGTTTAAAAGGCATTGCACACTAAAGGCACAAAGTGCTACGTTCCTGCTCCTCAGAAGAAAAAGCACAGGATGCTTCCTCAAGCAGGCAAGTGCCTCACCAGAAGATCAAGTTCCCAACCAGATATCAGGATCAACTGAGAGCCAAGAAAAGAAGAACAATGAGAAGTAAAATCAATCAGTCACACCAACCTACAAGGCTTAAAAAAAACTAGTAAACAAAACACCAAAACCAGATAAGCCGACTAAAGCTATCTTAGCAGCTGGTCTAGAATTTAAATGATAGACATTTCACACACCCATTTTTTCCTTTTTAATGTTAGTCATCCTCAGAGGATTTTCTTAGTTTTGTTTCTCTTCTTGTTTCTAGGAAACAGCCTCAACTAGCTACTGCAAAAAAAAAAAAAAACCAACAAATTCAAAAGAGAATAAATTGAGAAGAGCAGGGAAAATGCAAAGCAAGGGAATTGAAACAAAAAAAGGCCAGAGCAATGGTCCTACCACAAGAGGTAAAAAAAAATGGTACATTTCTGTACTCCCCTCACAAGAACAACTTTGTTACTCACTGCAAAACCCAAACAAAGATCCAATTAAGCAACTTTGGGTTTGTTTCACTGACAATATAAAAACAGGTGAACACAGGCAGCAGATGCAAGACCTTTGCAGAGGATACAATTTTCTCTCTTTATGTTGTTTTATCTCCCAAGACAAGGGCCTTACATCAAAGTGGTAGCCTGGAATACCTGCAGCATTCAGTGGCTTTAGCCCTTTACCGCTGACATGAAGAAAAGGTCTCCTATAATACAAGCATCCCAAAAAAACATACCAGGATCAGCACAGCTGCTGTCTCACACCGCCAGAGAGGGAGCCCCATTAGGGTCAAAGCAGAGAAAGGATAATATATGCAAAAGACATTGGGAAGGAAAAAATAATGTAATACTCAGCTCTTTGGCACAACAGTGGAGTTGGAATGAGTTTTGTTGCATTGGGAATTGCTTCTTTCATCAGTTTAAGAAACTTCCCGGGAGATTCAGAAACTCCAGGAAAGAGAAAACTGAGAAAAACAATCACATTTTTTAAAAAAACTATTTTAGGCAAACCAGAAACCCAAATTAAGATTCTGCTCAAAGAATGCCAAAGCTCATTCATATAGTTGCTTGTATACCTGACTTGGATGAAGTCACAGTGCCTGGGGCAACTGTTTTGATCTCAACCAAATCAATCTAGGTATGTTGAAAGTGTTCTTAGGAAAATACAGCTGTTATGTTGTTACGTAAATTCAGCTTTTAGGGGTGGGACTGGAGGAGCAAATGATCTGCATGTCAGCATTGCAAAACCTCCCTACACGAGCAGTGGGATGGGGAAATCACTGGACTACAACTCAGGATGACCAAGTTACATGAACAGGTCATGAAACAACTGTGCATGAGCCATGCCCAGTCTGCTACATCAGACTCATGTAAGTAGTTTGGTGTCCAGTAAATGCACAGTTCTGTCTGAGCAACAGAACCCAGATGGTCATAATCACTGTCACAGGGTCTGGTTGGAGTCCTGTCACCAGTGCTGTCCCCCAAGGTTCAGTACTGGGCCCAGTGTTGTTTAACTTGTTCATCAGTGACTTGGATGAAGGAGCGGATGCCTCCTCAGCAAGTTCACTGATGACACAAAGCTGGGAGGAGTGGCTGATACCCCAGAGGGCTGTGCAGCCCTTGAGAAGGACCTCGACAGGCTGGAGAGATGGGCAGGGAAGAACTGTCAGAAATCCAACAAAGGCAAGTGCAGGGTCCTGCACCTGGGAAGAATAACCCCAGGCACCAGCACAGGCTGGGGCTGACCTGCTGGAGAGCAGCTCTGCCAGGAACCTGGGGGTTCAGGTGGACAACAACTGAGCCAGCAGTGCCCTTGTGGCCAAGAAGGCCAGTGGGAACCTGGAGTTCATCAGGAAAAGCACTGCCAGCAGGTCCAGGGAGGTGATCCTGCCCCTCTGCTCAGCCCTGGTGAGGGCATATCCGGAGTGCTGTGTTCAGTTCTGAGCTCCTCAGTACAAGAGAGACATGGAGCTCCTGGAGTGGGTCCAGCAAAGGGCTAGGAAGATAATTAAGAGACTGGAGCACCTCTCTTACCAGGAAAGGCTGAGGAAGCTGGGCCTGCTCAGCCTTGGGAAGAAACAATGGAGAGTCAGTGTCTATCAGTATCTCAAGGGAGGGTGTCAGAGGATGGAGCCAGGCTCTGCAGTGGTGTCAAGCAACAAGACAAGAGGCAAAGGGAAGAAACTGATGCACAGGAAGTTCCACCTGAATATGAGGAAAAGCTTCTTTACGGTGCAGGTGACAGTTCAGTTCTTTACTAAACAGGTTGCTCAGAGAGGCTGTGGAGCTGCCCTCACCGGAGATATTCAAGAACCATCTGGATGTAATCCTGTGCCATGTGCACTAGGATGACCCTGCTTGAGCAGGGAGGTTGTACAGAATGACCCAGTGTGGTCCCTTCCAGCCCTACCTATTCTGTGAGTCTGTTTAATTCAAATAGAAACAAAAATACACAAAATGAAGCCAGTGTACCAGAAAGGCCAGGATTCTTCCAAAGCAAGAGACATTCACTGCAAATCACAATGGGAAAAAAAAAACACAAAAACAACCAACCAAACCAAAAAACACCACAAAAACCAACAAAACCCAAACTGAACAAGATTATTAGATTGTTAGCTTGAGACCGTATGACTGCAGTAAATCACAACAGTATCAGGCCAGCCATGGCACAGAAGCAGCAAGTCATACAAGCCTTTAAACTTTTAGAACACACATCTAGTATATTCCTGCCCAGGCCATGAAACGTTACCACCAACAAGTAAGGACAGGAATTCCTCTGTAAAGCCCTAAGGAACCACATAACCTTTTAATTAGCCAAAAGAAACCCCAGGTGTACTCACACTTGATTAAATCAATGTCAGGCATGCTCATCAAAGGACGTTGCTATTAACAAAGCTAACCTACCTTCAGCTATGCAAGAGCCCAAAATGAGTTTACTGCACTCATTTTCTTCTCTCTTTGCTGATTTCAAGTGTGAGCATATTCAGTATCAGAAAAGATACACAGGAAGAGGCAAAACACACCAGAATATATTTGCCTGGCTCCAAAGAGTTCAAGCATAACAGATGCTGCTGAGCAATGATGTGGACCTCAAATTGTCTGCAGATTAACAGACTGCTCACTGACAGAAAAAGAGGCAATAGGCATAAATTAAATCATAAAATTGTTTTTAAAACCCTTTCTTTTTATGTTTTTATTTTGTTGGTATTACTATGAGAGTAGTCAAACACTGGAACATGGTGCCCAGAGATGGTGGGATCTCCATCTCTAGAGATATTCAAAAGCTGTCTGGCCATAGTCCTGGGCAACCTGCTAGAGGTGACCCTGACTGAGCATGAGGGTTGACTAGATGATCTCAAGAGGCTCCCCCAGCCACAGCAATGTTGTGATTTGGTTAACTAGGATATCACCAGGACAAGCAAAAATTTCTAGCCAGTTTCACTGACTCCATCTCCCATTTTAGGCACAAACACAGAATCTTTAAATGCTGCTAGCACACTTATGGTACCCTTGAAAACATAATCTACAACCGATGAGGAAGTTCTTGAATTCTAATTCCAGCTTTCATGTCTTAAGAGTATGTCCATGCAATATGACCTGGAGTCATGTCCTTTGTCTTCTCTTTTAGCTTGCTGACAGCAGAAAAAGCTCAAAGGAGAGACAAACTCATATTGATTCCTGCATTGCAGCAGACCTCTCCAGCCCTCACCCATGTCCCTGTAGGTAGCTCTTTTGCTTTCCATCAAAGTCTCCTGGATACCTCTATTTGAACTTAGACTACAATTGACAGAAGTGTTTCACTCCAAAGAACTCACACATAGGCAGGTTCGGGCTGTTAACCTGAAATATTTCCTCACATTTGGCTGGGGAACATGGCAAGTCATAAATTGCAGGACATCTACAAGAAGGCTTCTGTCAATTCATTGAAAGAATCATTTGCTCCATTAGGTTTTTATTGGATTGAGAATCACACTGAGTTATGCCTATGTTCATCACACTACAGAACACAGTGAAAAGTCCACAAAATGTATTTAACTCCCAGCTAAGAGCAAGAGGAATGAGACTAGTTCCATTAAAAGGGATCTCATTAAAATTTGATAATGCAACCCCTCTCCCCTGCCAATTAAACTAACAGTGCTGGGTCTCATCATTCTCTGGTGTTTAAAGAGCAGTAAATAGGCTTCCTATAGAAGATGATAGTGGAAACACCCTGAATCTTTATGTTAATGCATCAGTCATGGTTTATTTTAGCTTTGAGGAATATGGTTAGTAACTCACCCAGCTGGATAAGCAACAAGGCCAGTTCTGGGGTCGCAGGCTAGTCCTCTGCCTCCCGACACGGTTATGCCCAAGACCTTCTCCAAAGTCACCTAGAGCATACAAGAAAGAAAACAGGAAGTACCATGAAATGTGAGTGCAGTTCAAATAGACCCATAACACAGATGCTGATGGTCTGGTTCACACTGGTTCCTAGAAATCCACCAAGAAGCACCAGGTACAAAAGCAACCCCATTCAACTTTCAGTATAGGCACAGGAAAATACTGCTGGGGTACAGAGAAGGCATTATCAACCCACTTATTACTTTCTCTATGCCAGAGCATTGCAAACAGAGGGTTGCAAGCAGCAGACAGTACTGGTGAAAAGCTGGGATGCACATTCATGGGCCACAGATTCCCATCCTTCCAGTAAGAGCAACATACCACTGTCTCTAGAGCTTGGCTCTTTCCTGAAAACAGTTTCCAGGTTGACACTTCTAGTAGCAAGTGGTTCAGCCTGGTCTCAGCCTTGTATTCCTAGGAACTGAATAGTTCATTTTTCCTATGGTTCTGGAGGTGGAAATCACAAGGAGTGGTCGAGGGTATCCCTTGCCAGAAGTGTGAAATAGAACACCATAAACATTCACAAGCCTGCTGCATACCAATGACCCTTGCAAGAGACTGTTATCTAAATGTCCCCATACTCCCCTCAGGCAAACATCTCCACTATTTTTAAGAAAAGAAAAGAAAAGCAACTGGGAAGAGCTACTTGGAAGACATAAAGGCCTCTGTGGTAAGAAGCTGATAAAAGAAAAAAAAAAAAAAAAACACCACCAAAACGGGAAGGACAGGTGACAAATGGACATGACACAATGTTTCAGGAGCAGAGAAGGCCAGGGAGATTCAGCAATTACCCCAAAGCAAAAGGCTGCAGTGGGATTACACTGCACAAAATCTGGTTTGTGGCATGAAAGGACTCAACCTCTGAGCACAAAGCAGTTCTCAGCCCTGGGGTTATTTTGACTGACACAAAATTATTCTCTTTCCTTTACATTTGCACAGCTTCATTTTATTTATTATATATTTGATGCATACATTCTTCCTCAGCATTGCTGTCTGTGCCAAACTCAAGGATTTCACTGGGTCACAGTCTTCTGTTTTTAATTAATATCATCTAAGTCATATTTGGTTAAGGCCTTAGGGGCATGGACACAGCATCAGAAGTTACTATTGTAATAATTACTACTGACTTTAATAGCTGCCCTGAAGATGAACATCTTGCATTTATACCGAGGTGGAGCACAAAAGGCAGGGGCGGGGCAGGTTTCCCACGCCACCCTGACCACACACCTTCCCAGACCTGAGGAGTTTGGCTGCAGGGTGAGACACAAGGTCTCACTGAGCTCAAGGCTCAGGTTACTAGGTAAGGGGCCAGAAATAACCCCACACAGAGAATCACCTTGATTCAGCAGGTAAAACAGAGCTGAGGTGCCACCACTTAACATGAGCCATCCATGCTTTCAGTTAGTTCAAATTTGGCCTGCCTTCAAACAGTGATATGGAAAGTGGAAGATTTCATTTTCCAATCTCTGAAGCAACTTAGTCTTTTTTCCCCTCTTATTAATAATATACCCCAGGTACTTTAAGACATTATGAGAACCTACCAAATTCTCCCCTTCTCTTGCAAAGTGAGAATCTCTGAAAACATGGCTTTTACAAAACTCCACTGGATTTTTGTTAAGAAAGAACATGCAAATAAAAATGTAGTTACAAATCCACTGATAAAGAGAGGAACTAGTTTTGTTTCAACTTAATATTGGAACAAGGTTGGGGAGAGGAGTGGGAAAGGCCAGGAGGATATCTACTCTTCCAGATTTGTTAACAATACTTCAAAACAAATCTTTTTAAAGCAGCTTAAAAACATGCAGAAAGAACTCACTGCTTCTGCTGCTGAGATTCTGGCTAATATCAGCAGTTTCCAAACTAGAAGAGGTTTGAATTAGTACAGAAAATGCATTCTTGACAGCAAAGGAAGAAGTGGAAGAGACATGTGCCATTCAAGTAGTTCCATCTAGATAAGGCACCAATTACTTGATTCTGTCAGCAAACATCAATTTAGCAATGCTGTGATTACACTGCTCATTGCAGGCTTTAGTTCAGTCTGGCTGTAATTGCCACTATCCTAAAAGGCACTGCTTGACCTTGGCTATGCAGATATTCAGCAGCAATTCAGCAACCTACTTTCACCAACAGGTATGTTTTTGCTCTGCAAGGACATTTACTGAGCCTCTCAGTGTGCAGTCTTACACCACAGATGAGCTGACCTTGCAGGAGCCTGTCTTGCAGGGAACAGCTCCTTCCTCCCTCATCCCACTCAGCCCAGTGATATCCCCCTCCAGACTCCAGACAGCCCTGGCATGGCAATTACATGTCCAGAAGGCCAAACCAGCAGAAAACCATGTTCTATTTGTAATCTTCCGTTTGTTTTCAGTTTGCCAGCCTGGGGAAACCCACAGGACGATCAGACCAAATTCAGGAAAAAAACCCCTAAAACAAACATACCTTTCCCTGGCAACTGGATCAATCTAGCTGCACATCCAAAGCCCAATCTGACCCCTACAAGTCTTTAAAAAGAATAGAAGCCAAACAGGAACGCTACCTGATTTGTCTTGACACCCTCACCTCACCAATACCAAATTGTCACCCTTACTCCAGCCTCCTCTCTCACTCTAAAGTCAGTGGAGGTCCCCTGCTGCTTTGCCAAGAGACTTTATGCTTGGATGTGGAAAGTCTACCTTTCTCATACGGTCAGCACACAGCTTGACATAAAAGGAGTAGCTCAGTCTTCCAGTCTAATTATTTTACTGCCAGCAAGTATCTTCTGGCCTCCAACAGACCATCTGTTCCTTTAGAAAAAAGCAACTGTCAAGGCCATACCTCTGATATTGACAGAAAAAGTGCTACAGAAATAGATAACTGCCTCTAGACTAAAGATTCACAACTAACTTTCTAAAAAAGGCTTCCCCTCCTTTGTTCCCAGTCTTAACTTCAAAAACTTTCTAGTGTAAAGAACTTGAAAGGCAACCCCACAAAGCCTACCCAAAGGCAGCACCTCTACTTGATAATACTTGAGTATTAAAACCAACTTGCATCAAAAAGTATGCATGTAAATTTAAAATGTAACCAAATGTGATCTTATGAGACTTGTGAGCTCCACTTCCACCAACCTACCCACAATACACCAGTTTTTTCCCCATAACCAGCTTCCAGACTAGGTAACACAGGGGCAAGAAATAGTCACTTTGTCAAAAAACTTGAGAATGAAAAACATTTCAGAGAGAAAAACAAGAGATAACACAGGATTCTTCTCAATTTGCCAGCTAAAACAAATGAATTCTTAATATGGTTAATTAGGGCAAAAATACATCAACTTTAACTTCCTAATCTGGTATTAAGATTTGTCAGCAAAGGGCAGATCAGTCGAAACAGGTCTGCACTATCCACCTCTGAAGTTACCACTTCCTCCTGTGGTAAGGGCAGTCTCCCAGCCCTACACAGCCATAAACACTGCCATTCATACAAGTCTCCCAAGCAGTACTTCAGCACATCCCAGTCTGAAATACATTATTTTGCACACCTTCCCAAGTCTGATCTGAGCTAACCACAGGACCTGGAGAGTTCCCCTGCAGATTTGAGACACTGCTCATTACCAACAGGTCCTGTGCTTTCCCAGTTTGAATCCTACAGTTGTCAGACATGTCACTGCTTGCTCAGGTCTTCACGGACAACTAATGGGCCACCTCAACACCCCCATCCAAACCTGGAAACAACTGCATGATTAAACCTGCCACTTGTACCTAAATTAGAGGCAGCAGAGGAGGCTGACAAGCTGCATTTGTTACTTCATCTTGAGGCTTCTATTAATAGCATAATTGACACTTTCAGTCAACATTCTCTGTGCAACTTACAAGAGCTGTTGAATTGATCCACACACAAAACACTTCTGCAGCTCATTTTGCACTGCCACTTTGCTATCTGAAACCATCCCATCTCTTTTCCTTTAAGGTCAACTTTTACTCAAATGTCAACGCTCAATATACACTCTTAGGCACCAAAACCTGTGCAGCTAACACCTATCTTGCAAAGTCTGATATTCAGCCATTTTACAAAAATTTGGTGAGTTGGAACTGCACAAATATGTATAAAGAAATTTTTGTGCCTAAGCAGATCCCTTACCCTGTTCCTTCCACATCAAATCCCAACACCATCAGATAGGTAGGACCAAACCAGCAGAGTCCTGAATTGCAGGACTCAAGGCACCAACAGGTATTCACAGCAGCAGGGCCTTCCCAGAAAGAGGGGTCTCACTGCAGCCCAATCCCACCTGAAGTCAAAGGGCATATCTGACAGCAGCCCTTGCTTCCATCAGGCACAGTCCCACCCAGTGCATGGGGCAAGCCCATGCTTGGGGAAAGAAGCCATGTCATCTCTGCCTTCCTACTGAGGTGCAGATAATCATTTCAGAAAGACTGATCTGAACAGCCCCAGCCAGCCTCATCTGGCTTCTCAGAAAACTCCATGTCTGACCAGCTGCACCCAGGTCTCAGAGTGATTTTGTACTTGCGTGAGCTCTTTCTGTTGTTTTGAGGAAGTTATCACAAACAATTGCTTCCATATGCTATAAGGACAACACAGAAATCCTTGAAGGATCAGCCCAACTTAACCCCCACCTGCAAACACTTTCCTCTTTCCCATCATTTGCATTCCTTTGGGACGATCTACACTTGCAAAGCCACAGGGGAGTACAGCAGCCCTGTGGCCTGCACATCCAGCCAGGACTCTGATAGAAAGCAGTAGTAAACACACCCAGCACAGCAATGACTTCCACCAGAATGGGTGCCAAAAGGGACAGATTGTCACACTGTCAGTCCTGCCTGACCTGTCACAGGCACTCTGCCTACAGCTGCACTGTTTCACTACTGAACCCCTGGGTAGGAGCTCCTGTATCTGTGCCTATTTGCACATCAGCAGATTTCTGAGGTCTGCCTTCATCTTAAAAGAGAGAAAGAGACATTTTCAAGATAAAGCCATCTTTAGGCTTTAGGCCACCAGG